ACATTTAATCTCTGAGTAAGAGTGTGTGTGACGAGTCGTCTAATCGTTGCTGCTGTCAGGAGTCGGTACAAGGCGTGGCTGTAGCTGCGGCGGTAGAGCAGGTCACCTACTAATCAGAAGGTTGGTGTTTGGTCCCCGTCTGCTCCAGTGCATGGCAAGTATCCTTGGCTAAGATACTAACCCCAAGGTGTCTCTGCTCCACCGTCAGATTATAGAACATATCTTACATGCAGGAAGAGTGCTTGTGTGACTGGGTGAATGAGGCAGGTTATGTAAAGCATGGGCTCAGAGTAGAAAAGCGCTATATAAGAACCAGTCCATTTACTAGTCATTTAATTGAATTATTTTCGTATCGCATCAATAGCTGTAGTGGAGATTTTTATCAGTGGGACAGGCTGTAAAATGTGTGAAAATACAGTTAAAAGAAGAAGAAATCAGGGGGCCTGACTGCAGTGTTTTCTGGGCTGACTCTGAATCTTGGACCTTATGTTTGACACCCTTGGTATGGCGAGACCAGGACGTCCTTGCAGGCTCTTGTCCCTGTGTGTCTGGGTAGTCCAGGGTCTGATCTTGGCAGCTTTCCTGTCTGCTTTAAACGCTCACACAAAACCCATTCAGCACCAGAACAGAGAAACAGGATTCAGGTACAGAGTTTTGTTTTCCGTCGGTGGCTCGGCCGTGTGCTTCTCTACCCTTTATCGAACAAAAAGCACATTTTTGAACCTGCACTGACATGACGCAGAGACGTGACGAGCGTGTGAGGTCTTGGTTACCTTGGTGTTTCTATAGCGACAGCTGGAATATAAACAGCTCTGTTTGTTGGCAGCTCGCTGGTTACTGAGGGGACTGTGGTCCGAGGCGGTGTGTCTGTGTACGATACTGTATCCGTGAAGTCTGTGGTTAGAGATTTTTATGGAATTTTTATAGTGCAAAAATGATTTAAAGGCTTCCATGTTTCCTAAAAGTCTGAAAGTTGTTCATAACTAATCAGTAAATAAGCCGATTATTTACAGCCACGGGGCAGTAAATACTCAAAGGATCCGTTCTTGGTTGCTGAGCTCTTGGTAAAATCCTCAACATGTAGCAGAAGGGTTAAATCAGCTCCTTTATTCTTACACCATCATGAGATTATCTGATATTTTTGTCTTTATAAATGTCGAAACATTTTGCAAACATGAAAGTATTTCTGTTGTATCCCATCACTGCTGTTGATGTAAGTGATCAGAGTGATCGGGCACTGGAAGGCGGAGTCTTGTTTTTCTTTTAATCTGATCCAAGACTGGATGATTAGAATGATCGATGTCTCCGGCCTGTTCTCTTGTGAGGCGTGTTCGGTATTATGAACATCAGCTCCTGTTCATGTGTCCAGCTGCTCGTGAGAGGAGGCTGTGTGCCTGTGTGTGGCTGCTGTATCGTGTTGGGTGCTAACTGGAGAAGTTGAAGATGGCACTGATATGGATGATGGTATTTCTCTGGATCCAGGCTACACTTGGGTACGAGAGATTCTGTTTAGTCCAAATCTGTGTTTAGCAGATACCATTTAATCTGCTTTGGCTGTTTCCTCTGTACAGAGTTTCTCACAGGCTTCTTATCATTTGGTTTTCTCTGGTGTTTGCAGTGCTGTTGTGAGACTGGTCAGGTGTATTTGAGTGGAGGCACAAACAGACTACCAGGGTTTTAATAGTTTTGCAATTTTCATTAGTTTTTATTTTTATTTAGTTTTGACTTCAGATTTTCAATTTTATATCAGTTTTAATTAGTTTTTACCAATTGTTTGCGAGTTTAGTTTTTATTTTTTGAAAATCCTTAGTTTCAGTTTAGTTTTGATTAGTTTCAGTTATAGTTTTAGTTGTTTGCAATAATTAAGTGCAACAAAATCCCAGTTTCATCATATCAGTCATGCTCTTCTGCTCATCCTTGGGTATGTTGCTATTCCAGCTACCATACCCTGCACCCTGCACAGACAACTCACATTCCCACCTATGGGTTCTTTAAATAAATAAATAAACAAAGACAGATGAACAACCATTGATACCAGGCAACTATAAAATGTATATCTTGGCCCCAATGAGACTATTAACTCCTGCAGCACCGGGTGTTCCTAATTTTGGTTCAAGTGAATTGATAAACTTTTTGAAGGCAATTGACTCACACAGTTATGTAGATATCCCCGTCCTGTTGTCTCGGGATGCATCACGCTGCCTTGCCTGGGGTTAGCTTCTGTTTCTGGGGATGAGGGTTGAGTGTGCTCCCTTCTCAAGGTAAGCTAGGTTAGCCTTCTGGTGTGAGCTTTTCAAGTGCACTTTAAGGTTTGTGGGATTTTTTCCTTTAGAAATGTCCCTCATAATTTGTCTCTTTCCACTACAAGACACTTGCTTTATCCAAAACACAGTCATATTCAAAGTAATCCCAAATTGGACTCTGGCGCTTTCTCCCGACTTTTCCTGACATGATTCTGCGCGTGGGCGGAGCAACACAGACGACTCGACTAACGTGCTGCCACCTGCTGGCACAATGAGACACAGCAAGCAAAAATCTGGAAACTAAACTTCATTTTCACCCTCGACTATTGTAGGACACGCACACATCTACGAAAACTAAACACATTTTTGCTATAAATTCAGCTAATTTTAGTTTTGTGAACACTCATTACAGTTTTAGTTAGTTTTCCTTTTTTTGTTTTTATTTTTATTTCCATTAACGAAAATGTTTTTTCACTTCTAGTTTTCGTTATTTCGTTAGTTTTCATTAACGATAATAACCTTGCAGACTACAGCATTAAGATCAGGATTATTTGATTTGGATGGAGAGGATCGTCCCACGCTTATGCGAGCATGTCTGGACTCGCTGTAGCCGCTGCTGTTGTCATGGTAGCTAGCGGCCGTCATGTAAAACTCATGAAGCCCGTCTTTCTAACGTGTGTGTTTTAATCGTTTCCAGTGAACAGCCGCAGAATTAAAGCACTGAAATCATTCTTTTTGATGTTAACATGAATCATTCGCACAAATTGAAGACCACAAAAATGTTGGGACTTTCTGCAGTGAAGTTACAATGCAACTGCTTCTGAAAGACAGAGAGCAGGTCCATGACCACTCCCAGTCAGCTGCAGTCTTCAAAGCAACTTTACTGCGTTCAGACGACAGCAGTAAGACACGGCGAGTCTATCATTCGTCTGGTTTTTGTTTGATATGGGGCTAGTTTGGCAATTACATCGATTCTGTTTGTTATAATACAGCGATTAACCATTAAAATGAACAAAATCACAATTCTGTTTCCATCTACATGTATAGAAAATACAACTACACAAATGTAGTTGCTTCCATTCAGTCTAGCCAGAACCTTCAGACTTACAACAGAAATGCCCCCACAAAGAGCCATGCAGTTGCTACAAAATGTCAACATAATGTCAGCAAATTCACTTTTATAAAAGAATAAAAAGAGCGCGACTAGTTTAGTCTCCTCTTCCAGAGAGGCGCTCGCAGGTACTGGGACGGCCAGATTGCAGTAGTTTGCTGATTGCAATTAGACAGACATTATTTGCAAACCTTTGCCAATCTGTGTGAGAGTGATTGCAATCAGACAGCTATGTTCCAGCTGTGTACCTAAACCTTGCTTTGTGATCAAAAGTGGTGAGACTGTTGCATCCTGGTCCATGCTCGACCTCTCAGCCACTACATAAGTTAGTTATTTATTCATTTTTGTGAAAAACCCCCAAGAACAACCAAACAGTCCAGTAAAACTAGACAAGGTAAGCAAGGTAACCCACAACATTGCTGATGGCTACTAGCTAACGAGCTAAAAGAGTAAAAGTTCTTTACTGGTTTTATTCTGTCCTATCGACGAGTCAGACAGCTTTAAGAAAAGACTGGTGACAATTTCAACACTTTTTACAAAAACTGCGATGATACTAAAGCACTTATTTTGTGCTGTAGCCATGCTGTGCTTCTCCTGTCTGTCAGTGTTTCCTGTAATCTGTGCAGCTGAGTAATGTTGATGGCAGCTGACAAACTGAGTGCCGCCCAAGAAGCTGTGTGTTCTTATGTGGTGCACAGTCAGGGTATATCTAGCTTGTGCATACTGGAGAGACCTGCACACTGTGCTGTAGACAGAGTAACCTCAGTGCAAGAGGAGCTTAAGGAAGAGGGATTGGAGGAAAGGAGTGTCCCACTTTAAATTGATCGAGTCGCTTATCTTGCATTGTGAGTCACTCCTTCACAGGCTTCTACCATGAACAGTATATGGTGTTTACCTAGTGTGGGTGTGTAGATGTTCATTGTTTTGCTGTGTGTAACGAGAGCTCTCCTAACGTCATCTGAAACGCTTGATCCTTTATTGCTCGTTGTGCAGTTTCTCTTTCGTTCAGGTGAAATTCATTATATAATTAAAAAAGCGAGGCCTGCACAGTCAAAAGCACCCCAGCTTCAGAAACCCAGCTTCACATTCTTCATATGATTTCTCTGCTTGAATCTTAGCACACAGTCCTGAGTGAACAGTGCAGTATTTTGGGGTAGTGTTGAAAACTGCATAGAAACCAAACTGTTGCATTATATGACAGAGGAAAGTGGGATATAAATGAGTCCCCACATTGTTCAGATGCAAGAAATGATGGTTTTTAACAATAAAAACGCAGTTTTGGACGTTTGCCTTAGCTTGCATGGTGGCACTGCAGGCTTTCAGCAGTGTATGCATTGGTACAAACAAACCAACATAAAAATAATTTCTTGTATACATGTGAAACAGAATGTATAAACCTGCAGCACTGGTTCACCACTCAGTATCTACTGTATCATATACACCATGTACGGGCCCGTCTTCACTATGTATGCCTGCTGATCAGCGTGTTGAAATAGGGTGTGGGTTTAAAGGCAAAGCTGTGTTTCCACATACCAGCGATGTTACAGTGCAGAGAACTTTCCTGTTAAACTTTACTAGAGAAACTGTATTTGTGTTGATTAAATTTGAGATTAAAATGATGAGTCATGTGTTCTGTCTCCATGCAGGCTGCTGTTTGGGACTCTGTATCCTGCGTACTACTCTTACAAAGCTGTCAAGACCAAAAATGTTAAGGAATATGTAAGTTCAGAAATATTACTTTTTATTTACTTCTCTTCTCCTGCATGACTTCATCTCACACACAGACACACTGTGGGGGGGTGAGGGGGGTCTAAGTTATTAACATTTGTTAATGTTGTTTTTAAACATTAGAAAATATTTCATTTCAACAACTTCGACAAATTAGGAGGTAACGTGAGCCAAAATGATCTGGAGCATGATTATAGCTTTTTCACTTAATGAGTAATTATACCAGCAGGCATGCAAATGAATAATATCATCAAGTGACGTCATTTTGTATGTGAATGCATCCAGCATGGTCCTGCTGACACAGCCGTCGTGCTTCATGTGCTTCATGTGCTTCATGTGCTTCATGTGCTTCATGTGCTTCATGTGCTTCATGTGCTTCATGTGCTTCATGTGCTTCATGTGCTTCATGTGCTTCATGTGCTTCATGTGCTTCATGTGCTTCATGTGCTTCATGTGCTTCATGTGCTGTCTGCATATGTCAGTGAAACTGAACATATGATGTTGTAAGTTTAAAATGTATATCTTATTTTCATCATTATGTACCTTTTTCAAAATAACCTGAATGGTGATATTAACTCAGAGATGATATGTGCAGTACAGTAATAGACTATGTTGGACTAATGCAGAGCAGGCTGTGTATCCACTGTTAGTGACATTGACTGCACAGTACCTACTGGGATCGACTCAGTATGGTGTGCCACAGTTTTCCATTAGGTCATAGTACCTGGTACCAGGTGTGGTTTTTTTTTAAAAAATAAAGTACCTGCTTGCCCGGGGTTCCAGGCGATCCAAGCAGCCACTAAAATGTGAGGTCATCAGACTGCATGCCACTGATTGGCTGGTCAGTAGCGTCACTCGGTGAGTCACGGAGAGTGTCTCCTTCATGAAAATTAAAATGGCCATTTTTGAAACTCTGCATTGAATGAAATGGCAAAAACCCCCCAACAAAAACAAGGCCATGATCTTTGAGAGTGACGAAACGCCACGGGCCAAACACCAGGTATTGTGTCGACGTCCAACTTTGTTGTAGCGTTCGTGTCGCATATTAATTACATTGCAGGATGCTCGGGCGTGTTGCTATGACAACAATCTCACACGTTAGGTAGTACTGGATTGGGCGACCAGTCAATCCGTGGGGAGTTGATCCGAGGAGGTACTGATGGAAAAAGGAGCTCGTGTCACATTTTTCTACATTCAGGCTGCTGATGCTGTTTATTTTGACTTGACAACTTCCACTCGTTACACAACAGCATCTTTGTGCTGGTTAGCGGTGTGAAAGCAGCCAGCGCTCATGATGTTCTCCCGTATACATTCTCCTATCTACTGACCACTTTATTAGGTATGAATCGATCATTCAGTGTGCCTCTGTCTGACTTCAGAACTGCTTCATGACTGCATCGACGCAGATTCAGCGAGGTGATGGAAGCAGTCCTCAGAAATGTAGAAATGGATTTCTACAATGGCGGACCTTTAACTTGACTCTCTGCAGTGTTTACATGCTTACATATACACACAGTTTCAGTCCCTCCACACAAAGGGCTCAGTTCTGCTTCTCTGCGCCATCTTTGTTTACTCTTTCCCACCCAGGCTTCTAGACTTCTGATTGGCCAACATTTCTACACGGTTAGGAATATATCGCCACCTGTTGCTTTGGCATGTTCCTAGCAGCGTTTTCCTTCGTTTTTGCATTTACGTGTGGACGGGATTTAAAAAAAAAAAGAAAGCGGTAAATCTCCGTTTTCAAAAGTACCCGTGTACGTGTGGACGTAGCCTGAACCTCAGTTTGAACCTAAGCAAGCCGACTTGCTTAACTATTAAATCTATTGGTAGATTAATAGTTCTTTTGAAGTGAGTTATTTCTCCCCTGTGCCATTAGAGGACTTTAGAGTCAGGCCTACCAAAGCTCACTTTCATCTGTGATTACAGTCCTCCATCCTTTGAAATATTTTCTTCTCTGTCAGTTTTAAAAATGCGTCTGATGGTTCGAATGATTTGATCTTTCATCTCGATTCAGACATTCTTGTCCTTGTCTTAGGGACTAGCCCCTCTGGTAGATACCAACTTGCTTTCTTTAAGTCTTTTGCAGAATGTTAAACAGGTCTTGGGACTGATTACACATTTGAAGCACGGCTGGATGCATATAGACGATATGCCCTAGAGGTGTTTTGGCTAAGGAGTCGGGTGATGTAACTAATACCAGTGAGAGTGACATTCCAGTCTGCTGAGTTAGTAACACATTCACATACAGCTTTAACACACCCTGTCTCAGACTGCTGCGTCTTTCACCCACTTACTTTATCCTTATCTGCTCTTCTTGTTAGACCTCTGCTTTTACTTTGCTTTTGCAGAGGTTCATAAAGGAATGGTTGGAAATGAAGATCAGTACTGTTTCTTGTTTCATGAAGCAAGCTGTACTTAAGCTGACCAGGAGAAATACTTTGTGTGCAGCGCAGCAGCTATTCTGCGTCTCGTTGCTGCTTGTTTGTAGCTGCAGCTCACCCTGCAGAGGTTACTCCAGTTCATGACAAACTTGAAACAGATTCAAGTCCCAGCCTTCTTCTTTGTTCACTGCTTATGAAAACGTGCACGTACCATTGCGCTCACTGACTGATGTTAGTGATGTCGCTCAGTTTCCAGCAGCGTTGTAGTCGGAGTTGTCCATCCATGTACAGTCGACCACACTCAGTTGTAGATAAACAGGTCTGAGATCAGCCGTGTGTATCCCTGCCATGATTGAGCAGGCCTGTCTGCTCCACCATGTGAGTACATACAACATATCTTTTGCAGTGCGTTTTGGAAAACTTAAGCTGTTGTGCATCAAATGCTTTCCAGATGGTGTTTCCTGATTTAAATTTCCATTCATTTTGACAAAATCTCTAACACGGTGGATTGGACTCTGTGGTTTACAGATGGCTGTAGACGCTGTACTTTCAGAAAGGTTGGTGTTAGGTGGCTACAAAAACCCAAACAGTCCTCCGGTACAAGGACTGAACTGTAAATGAGTATGAAAAACAGCCAATAACCAAATAACAGCTTTCAAAGACCTCCAGAAAGCTCGGAGAGCTGTTGCTCAAGACCACTTAAATCATTTTAAGAAGGTCTGGGATGAAATGAAGGATGACTAAAGACCTGAGCACATGAGATGTTGCTTTATGGTGCTTCAGTGGGGCCAGTATATCGGCCAGTATCAGCTATTTGCCAGTTCAGCGTATCTGCACTTTTGATGGCTGATCAATGAACATAGTAAAGCAGAGATGTGACAGATGGCCTTAAATCATGTTGCATGGTTTTAAGCAACTTACTTATTGGCAGCATGTGTTTGGAATACCACCAAAAGAAATCAGCTGATCCAAGTATAGTCTGGCAGAGTGTAAACAAGTAATCCACAAATCTCATAACTAACTACATACATCAGATTCTTTTTAATCCCTAGATATCAGCGTATTGATCGAGTGGTGCCCTGTCAGCACTGCTTGGTGAGGTGGGGAGAAAAACCTCTGGGAGAAGCTCCAGCACAGGTCATGAGAGAGAACTTTTTAGCACAAAAGCTGCAGTCGCTGTCTGTGCTTGACTTACAGGCTTTTCAACCAGTCAGCGTTCTTTGGACTGAATGTCATTGCCAACATGCTGGAGCCTTTTCGGAGGATTGAACTCAAAACCGCCATAAAGCCTCCGTATAAGGAATCATAGTTTGTCTGCAAAGCCCAAGAACTAAATAAATTAAGACCAAACATTATGAGCGATGCAAACACACTTGAAATAAAAGCTTGTTAGTCTCTGCAGCTGAGGAACATAAGAGAAAAGTGTTGTGATGCTCTGTGTGCACCTTAGAAGTTTGGTATGACAGATGACAATTTGATGACTAATCGATAAAACTTTAGTGTTTCTTTCATTTAGTCAGGATGAATTGATGGATGGTTAATCAGCTGCTTGGATGCAAGTTTGCTCAAAATTCTATGAGTTTGTTTCGGAGGCACAACTGAAGCTCGGGTGGTCGTAACTGTTGCCCACCTTTTAGCATTTTACCTCTTAGCTGTAAGCGTGGGTGTTATCACACAGTGGGGCTGGCAGTGTGGAGCATCTACTAGGAGGCTGAGGTGTCGGGCCACCAGAATTTTGATCCAAGTTTAACCTTAGCAGTAGTGGCTGTGCAAGTCTAATGTAATGTTTCTTCTCCCCCCCCTGGAAGGCAGTTATTCAAAGACAGGGTCAGTAAATGTCTACTGTAGCCCCAGGAAGCTAAAAGGCTGGTGTATAGGTTACATCTTAATGTCCTTTGTACTGATAAAATGAATGAAGGAGGAAAGGAGCAAATATTCTATCAGAAATGGAAAGCAGAAGGAAGCTGGGAGCTGAAATGTCTGAAGCAGAGGGAGACCGAACGTTAAATTAAACCTCAGTGTCAGCTCACTCTTTACATTTAGTGCGAGTGTGTGAGAGATGGGTGAATGTGTTTCCCTGTTGTTTCTCTTTCAAACACACTCTCACAGAGATGAGTGAAGTAATGTCATTAAAAACAATGAGAAGTCTCGGCTGACTTTCCAGAATCTGCATTTTTTGATCTTGGATGTTTTTCATGGTGAACAGCTGTTCAGCATGACGGAGTGGTAGCTGAAAACCCCCCTCTGTGGGCAAATGGGACACAATTAAGCATCACTTATTTACTCACACACACCTACTGCTTGGTTTAACATGGAAATCCAGTCAGACGGGACTGGAAAGCCGTGAAAGAGGGACGAAGGAAGCCAGACCGCCGGGGGGGGGGACCTTTGTCTAAGGAGCTTGGAAAGAAAAGCGTCTGGACTTCTTTAAGTTGCTTGAAGACGTTTCACCTCTCATCAGGGCAAATGACCTTAGAACTTAGACCTTAGAAGAAGCTTCTTTGACTACGATGACCTGGATGACTGAGAACCTTCACAGACGCCCTCAACCTTTGTTTCACTGCTGCCAGCCTGCGAAGGAGGCAGAGGCTTAGAGAAAGAACAACATCATTTAAAAACGAGTTTATTAGCTCAAAGCTGTCCACTGGGGTTCGTGACCATGTTCGCTTGTTACACCAGTGTGGAGCAGGGTTCTTAGTAGAATAACTTTTGAATGCTCTGCTCAGTCAAAGCTGAGGTGGTTGATCATCAAAAATGATCAATTCTACCCATTTTCAAAATGCAGCTTTTTAGAAGCACCCATTATGCCTCAGGGCATGTAATGTAATTCAAAAGAAACCCCAAGTATGTCACGTTGTGGGCATTACATGCTATAAACGTCTTCTACTGAAGGACGCTGTCACAAATACAGGAAGTGTTCCTGTGTTTATTACACAAAGTGATGAACTCTGGGTCGATGATGCAAAATGGTGGCACTCCAGAGCCGCTTATTATAACTAACTAACTCTAACTGTTCAGAGCTACGCTTCCACTACTGTAGATATATTCATAGCACATCTGTTTACCACACACCGGCACATCTGTATATATGTAGCATATCTTTATATTTGTTCATAGTACACCTGTATATCTGCCCGTCTGCACAGATAGAACATCTGTGTGCTGTACAGATCACCTGTACATATTCATCTCTACTCGACTTATCTGCTCTTATTGCACTTGCTGCTCTTGCAGTCTGCATCTAATCAGAAGTGTTTTGTTACTCTGTATTTATTCATGTGCAATGACAATAAAGTGGAATCCTAATCCCGACAGACCAGAATATACAAAATATGAGCTGCTTTTGGTTTTAACTTCCTGTGCGCAGGAAACGAGGGATGCAGTATGAATCCTCACGGCTATGGAGGGCCAGGAGTGACAAAATGAATTGATTAAATACACAAATTAAGTAATTAATTAAATGTGTCATTAATTAATTAAAAATTGGAATTGATTGAATGAATAAATCTATCAATAATTAATTAAAGGCACGATCATTCCATTTAAAACATTGAATTATTTATTTCCTATTTTATTAATGACACGTTTAATTAATTATTTACACATTTAATTATTTATTCCGGTTTTTAATGATGTATTTATGTCATTCATTTTGGCAGTCCTGGCCCTGTGGCTGTTCATGAATGAATTTCAGCCCATCAAAGTCAGGGGGCGGGGTTAGTGCTGAAGTCACACCCATTGCTTTGGGCTGCTGCGAGGCTGTATTATAAACTGTGATACGAGTCTGTAGGTGCTCGTATCCTTCTTGCCTTCAGTCGTATTAGTTTCCTTCTGGAAGTGTGTGATGTGTTTCATAGTTTCTAACAGTGAAACGTGACATAAAAAAGCACGCCCCACACAATCAGATGTTAATCAGATTTTTTATTTTAGTAAATCTAAAGAATCCTAACAGACAGAGGTGCTTAGATTACAGTTGAATTAAAACAAACGGATGATGTCATCATTTCTTCATGATCAGCATGCTGGATCAGACGCTGCTGCTCTCGGTGGACATGCTCCCTCTCTGTCCTCCTCGTATAACAAAGATTTTTAATGTTAGTGTTAATATTAGTAATGTTAAGAGGTGATGCATGGTTTAATGCTCAGCCAGCCTTTTAAACGATGATTCATGTCTCTCTGCCTGTAGGTGCGATGGATGATGTACTGGATTGTATTTGCCCTCTACACTGTCGTGGAGACGATCACTGACCTAACTCTGGCATGGTGAGTTTGCCATGAATGTTAAACACAAACGCAGTGAATCAAACATTATGTAAACCTCGTGAACTCGCATGTCGTACAGATACATCTACACTGACTGTGTGAGTGGAAGAAGTAGTTTTCCTCGCTACCCTGAATAATAATGATAGAAATGTACTCTTTCCTAGTGTAACTAGAATAAACTTGTGGTAATGTGGATGTGCACTGTGTAGGAACAGAGTCACGTTTGCAGGAACTTCAGGTCGAGTTTCAGTGATTTTATGAATCTCATGTGGCAACATTTAGCTCGAAGGAACAATGTAACGATTTTGAGGAATTGATGGAGTTTGATGGTTTTTTTTGACAGATGTTATATGCAGTTAAACTTTAAAACGCTGACATTTGTAAAACCAATGAGAAGTTTTTGAATATTTATTATTACTCATTAATAAGAGAAAATAATTTCGATTAATCGATAGAATATTCGATAGATTAGTCCATTAATAAAATAATCGATACCTGCAGCCCTACAGCTGATGTTTTATCAGACAGTCACAGAAAGTGCTGGAACATGTCGGTGCAGTCCAAAAAACCATAATAAACCTTCAGAGCTGTGTGCAACAAAAACTTGACAACAGGAGTGGGAGTGGGTGCATATCTCTTAACCTGTTTGTCTGCAGTGGAAAGCATCATTATGCACCATGGGTTAAACTTACCGTGTGTGTGTCTCCATATCCAGGTTTCCTCTCTACTACGAGCTAAAGATAGCTTTTGTGGTCTGGCTGCTGTCCCCTTACACCAGAGGAGCAAGTCTTATTTACAGGAAGTGTCTGCATCCTTTGCTGTCCTCCAGAGAAAGGGTACATTCATCCGTACATCCACGTGTAATGCAGGTCACACTGCTTTGTGCCCAGTTCAACTGTGTTCTAAAATGTAATTGTTGTCTTCCTTTAGGAAATAGATGAGTACATTGTGCAGGCCAAAGAGAGAAGCTATGAGACCATGGTGAACTTTGGCAAGCAGGGCCTGAGCATTGCAGCCACCGCTGCGGTCACTGCAGCCGTCAAGGCAAGTTATTCTTTTTTTTATTTTTCACGTGAGTGCACTACAGTTTTATGTTAGATAGCATGGCTAAGTCAGTTTCCATCTTCTTTCTCACTACTTTGCTACAGAGTAGGGCTGTGCGATATGACCAGAATCTCATATCCTGATATAAGACATCTATCGTCCGATAACGATATAAATCACAAACATGTAACATTTTCTGTAAAGTCTGTGAATCTCGGGCAGCTCGACTTGCGTGAAGTGTTTCCTGTTGTGCGTCGTGTAGCTGAGTCGAGTGTTTTAGCCGAAGCATGAAACGATACATTTTTAGACATAAGTTGTAACGGCGCCGTTTTCTTTGAGTATTTATTACACGGCGTGCTGCGGGGAAAAGCCTGTTCTAACGTTTGAGTCTGAGCTTTATTTTTTAGCTCCTGGCGTCTTTTTTACTTCTCATCTATAAATAATCTGCTCTTTCACGTGATTCAGTTTATTTTGAAAAGTCTCAACAGGATCTTGAGCTTTATTGTGAAAGGTTTAAGTGGAACATAAACAAGCGGACACGCGATGGTGTTACCGTCACAAAAACAGGCGCTTGTCCGTCCGTAGTGTGGTTATATTACATATTAGAGAGAGAACTTTAAGAAATGAACACAGCCTCTACAGTGACATCAGAACCATGAACAAATATGGCTGTAAACAGTTTATTTTGCGACACTACGAAACAAACGATAGCGTAAAATGAAACGATAGATGTTTTTATATCGTCATCCGATACATATCGTTATATCGAACAGCCCTACTACAGAGTAATAAAATACCAGTCTGCGGCTTCAGCTCTCTTTGCTTGCAACAGCTTCCTTTGTCTGTGTTCTACAGTAGCGCCTGTGGGCACTGATGTCCTTATTTAGCTTGCTAAATCAGACGTAAGAGCATACAGACCAGGGGTCGGCAACCTGCGGCTCTTTAGTCCTTACAGTGCGGCTCCGCGTGGTTTGGGAAAATAAATTAGAAGTGTTTAGCTGAAGTGTATTTTATTTATATTAGTTCTTTTTTAACTTGTAGTTCTAAATTGGAAGATTATTGTGATATTGAAATATAAAAATAAAATTCTATTATTTTTTTCATCGCTCAAAATAAGCGTCACACTCGTGGAAGCTGAAACGGCGTGCATTTATCGAGACTTTCAGCCCCACGTAGGCCAGTTATGGATGTTCAGATCCACATTATGTCAGCAGCTCCACCGTGAACTCTGTTAAAACAAACACGCTGACGCCTCACAGACGACAGCTTACAGTCCTGCGTAAACTGACTTCGTACAGCCCCGACCTGCAGACGCTGTGCGCAGAGGTTCAGGAGCAGAAGTCCCGTTGTAAACATATCACAGCAGACCCGACGATGTTTGCATGAACGCGCTTTTCAGCTTCTCTTTATTGACCACTTTACACACACAGTTGCTGTACGCACACAGCCGGCTGTAGCTTTGCAGCTCACAGCCCGACAACACAAGAGCAGAGAGAGCACATGGTGGGGAGGCGTGATTGCGGGTTCTGCTCAGGTGGGTCCGCCTCCCCTGCAGACCACGCCCCGCCACACACATTAACCAGGTAAAATGCATATTTAGGCAGAATTTTGCAAATATCTATTTTTCATTTTTTAGCAGCATAGAGCTTTTTTCCCCAGTTATTTATTAAAAGTCAGGTCAAGGCTCCAAAAGCACAAAGGCGATATGAGGGGGGCTCACAGCAGCTTTTGTTTGCTGGATCATTTTAGTTCAGCTTTTGTTATATTTCTTTAAGAGTTCAAAATGTGTTCATTACATGAATAAAATGTAATTTTCTCTGTAGCACTTCATGGATTTAAGCAACACGCCTTAGTTGTTCACACAAAGCATAAAGGTAAAAAAGAATATACACAGTGTTATCTTCATTTTAGATGTCAACAAGTATTTTCTTTTGCGTGGAAACTGGCTCCAAATGGCTCTTTGGGTGTTGAGGTTGCTGACCCTGATATAGACAGTCACTGTGGCATTGGTGCATGACTGAGTGCATAGGAGATGAATCGATAGCCTGTACGAGATCTTCACTTGACGATCTGATAGCCTTTGCACATGCTCACACATCCTCTGTGCATGTCTGTGCCTCAGATGGTCTTCCTGCAGAGCCAGTTTAAATAAATGACATTTGAACTGGTTTCTTCAGCATTTCTTGAATACCTGAGTGATTCAGATACGCCCAGTTGATCTCACGCTTCACAGCACCTGAGCAGTGGGGATGCACTACAAAGAAAAAGCCAATGGTGTCAGGTTAGATCCACAGTAGTACAGCAGTGTTTAACTGAGACACTACAAAACAGTGAACCCCTGTAACAGATTAATAACTGCTCACATTATTATTATGATGATGCTGATGATGATCAAGGATTAGTCTGGTATTAAGTAATTTTATTTGTTTATGGGAGCAGCTGAAAGCAGCTTTATTAAGCAAGACTGAACAATTGAAGCCCATGTTCAGAAATGGAGGAATAATGACTAACTAGTACATTATTAATGATTAATAGTATGTAGTTATTATAATATAGAACTATAATACAATTCTATTGTGTGTTTGTGTGTGTAAATAAATAAAGACGCAGAATTAATCTGAATTGATTGGAGCGCTCAGCCAGGATTGAGCAGGTGCAAAGTTCAAGTATCAGAAAACGTTAACATTATGTTAGGATGGTCTCTGTTAGTGTTACTATAAGATGACGTTAGCTATGTTACCTTAGCCTAAGCATTTATCCAGTGCTTGCTAACACTTTAGCCTGTGGAGCGGTGTCGGCCGTGTCGAACTAAACTACTTGAATGTTGTCAATGAGTTCAAACTGAAGGAGGTTGAGTTCTTGAGTGGTATTTCCACCACTGCATTGAACAAGGTTCTGCTGACCGTGCTACCCATCGACTCTGAATGGAGTTTTTAACAGGCCATACTGCATTTAAGCGTAACTGAAGTTCTTCAGTGGGATTAGTTTGTGGCTGACTTCAGCTGAGTAACAGTGTTATGTTCTGTTTTAGAGAAAGAGCACCTGCTTTTTCACATAATGAACGAGGTCAGGTGTGCATATTCGAACACAAAGAGGCAGCACTCAGCAGGATCAACGACAGGTCTGGTTGTTTTTGTGTCCTTGCTGTGTCAGTGCAGCCTCCTGTCTCCACTTACCTGAAACATCCTGTTAATCAAAGCGATGCCTCTGTCACTGCCCTGCATCTCACGTCTCTCTCGCTGCCTCACTTTGAGTCTCCTATGGTTCCTCCTTGACATGAAGATCTTCTTACATATTTCATCTTTGTGTTCCCCGTTTGTCTTTACAGTCTCTTCTTTTCTCCGCATGCATGTTTTGTCATCACAGGGTTAGTAGCAGTTTTTCATTTCTTTAACATAGGCTTGCGTCTTACTAGGAATTTGATTGACCTTGGCTTTTACAGTAAAACCATCTGAAATGCACATAAAATCAATCTGTCTGAAATATTTTAGCTGAGCCTAGAGCTGTGGTTAGACATGCAAACCTGGCACCTACACCACATGTACCTGCTGTCACAGACTAAGAAGAAAAGACATTTCAGAGCTTTTCCTCCGTCCAGTTTACAGTTCAAAGCTGCTTCTTTGCCCATCTCACAGCATGGGACTAAGATTCAATAAATGAAGTCATAGCAAACAAAGTAAAATCTAAAATGTGTTGTAATGTGGAAGCTTGCAGTCCTGGCTGGTTTGGTAACCAACCAGTTTACCAAATGAGTATTACAGCTCGCAGTGCTCCTTTTGTGAGATGTGTCTGTATCCACACTGATAATTGATAAAACATTTGCATTGCTCTTGGTAACTACGGGACTGAAGAACTTATTGCTAACATAAACATAGTTTAGCTTTGAACAGGTAATGAAGGTCACATCACAGCAGATTAGATCCGAGTACTTTCTAACCATCATCCAGGTCTGCTAGTTTTAAGCAGATGCAAACAATATAAACAGGGACTATTTTGATGTTCCTGTCACTGCTATCAGGATGGTGCAGACACGCAGTAAACAGGCATTTAAGTTGAAAACACTGTAGTATGAAAATGTAGCATCATTGACCTGAAATGTAAGCAGAATAATTGCTTCACTGTATTATTGTTAACTCGGAGTGCCCCAGAGAAACCCAACCACTGTCCAGATTAAAGGGTCCTCCTCTGTGGTTGTGTTTTTAAGAATTTGCTGATTGCAAGTGTAACAAACTCGACTAAATATGAGTTGATATTGTGTGTTTGTTGGTCATCAGCATGCAGGGTTGTGAATGTTTTGGATCCTGGGGGAACACTGCAGATCTCAGCTGGACGTTTGCTTTTGAGATGATGTTTTCTGCATCTGCACCAACTTGCCTCCTGTCTTCCCTCTGACGTTTGTTTCTTTTCTGTCTGCACTAACATCCTTGTGTCTTCAGGGTTTCGGTGGTTCAGCAGGCTGCTCTGGGAGGTAAAAACCAGTCAGTGTAAGCAGCATGGACAGAATGTTCTGTTTCGTACAGCTCAGCATCCACCCTTTGATTATCGTCTGTGTCCAGACCTGCTGCTTGAGAACATCAGTTTTAATTTGATTCTTCGTTTTGGTTTTGACATGGACTTGGTGGTGTTGCAGATACATGTCACTCATTATTTACGACGCTGTTTGTTTTTCATTGTATGTCCCTTAATGTGTTTGACATTAATTTCATTGTTACAGCAGCATGCCGGGGCTTTGTTTACAAACAACAAACAAAAAGAAATTAAGAATTATATATCCAAAGCTCTAAGAATAATAATAAATGAGCTTACATTGGTGCTACAGGGTGAAAATGTCCCTGTGAATGTCCGACTTCATCATTTTGTTCGTATTAGCGTTTACCTGTAATAGCCCAAATATACTGCTGTACATTACAACAATACCCCCCCCCCCGCTGTTCATGTTCTTTGTGAAGTGTTTCCGTGGTAACATCTTCATCATCATTCAGTAGCATCCCTGATCTGAATGTATTCTGTACCTCGTTATTCACAGTTAGCGTATTCTTGTCATCATCAATTATTCGTTATGTTTCATTGATTTAAGCTTTAATTCCCAGATCTGAAGCAGACGGTATCATTTAATCAATTCCATTAGGTATCATTTACACTAGTGGGTCTAGTTACAGTGGAAATGCAGCTTCAGAGTGCTGAAGCCTGTTGCTGTTGAAGCTGTGGTGCTGTGACTGTGGCTTTGGGCCTTGTTAATGACGCTGCACCCTCTCTGAGAGTCCAGTGTGGATGAGAGGCATCACGAAGGCAAACGAAGCCTGTTTCAGGCTTTATTTGTTCCTGAGGCTTGAAAAACAAGTGAACTAATCCTTTAATGCAGAAGGTTCCTTTCATGATGTCTCCCAGTATTTCATGTTTCCAAAAATACAGCAATGATGAAGGACAAACACAGATCGGCAGCACAAGAAATGAGTGTTGTGGAAAAACATGTAATGCTTCTTAAACTTTTTAATGTAAAAATGTTGTCACAGCAAAGTCATTTAAACGACATGTTTGCATTTCTGTGCTCCGCCGTCGGTTTGTCTCACAGGTCTTTAAAGCTGCATGAAGCCCTGTACAGTAACAGTGCAGCAGTGCGGACTGAAGTTTAGTTTTCTCTAATGTAAATATTCGATTCTTCATGTAAGATACTGATAGTTGCTCAACAGCAGCTCACAGTGCTGTAGTTTGCAGTGTCTGTTTTTACTGTCAGATTTCTGCCGTTCCAATAATATCTGTCCTGTATTAATATATCATAGTGTTCCCAGTGAACTAGTAAAATCTGAACAGCTCAGTGTTGACATTAATCAGTCACAGCTACACAATGACATTCTGGATACAATGATGCATAAATATGTGGAATTATAATTTGAATTGTAGCTGTTTAGATGTGACGTGTGTCTAAGGTACAGATAAGCAAAGAAACATTTCCAATTATACAAAATAGTTATTATGAGAATTTGATTGGTGAGTAATGAACTCTAGATATCTGACACTAGTTGCAAGCACACAAATACGTCTGCTTTTAATTTAGACAAATTAAAGTCTACAGTGTCTGTTATAACAACTGATGGGATCAGGAACAGGACACCTGTATGACTGTAGCCATTCACGTGAAAGATGACTGCCACACCTGGAAACAAAAGCATCACCACACGATTCAGATTATTGATAAACTACAGGCTCTTTCTGTGATTGTAACACATCAGCACTGCTGATCTCTGAGATGTTTTTGTGGTGTAATGCTGAGTGTTGTGTGTGCTGCAGGGTCAGGGGGCCATTACTGAGAAGCTGCGCAGCCTGAGTATGCATGACCTCACACAGATAGACCAGCAGGACGACAGAGGAAACCAGCTGTACCAGTACAGCTCCCATTCTTCCAACCCTGCTGTCAGGAGGTCTCGCAGCAGTGACGCTCCGGATGGAGATGGTACACACACACTCACACACACTCGTGCGCTTCTCTCATAAACGTAACACAACTTCTCAATCACAACAATTCACGGTAAAGGAAACAGAGTAGAGCAGCTGCTGCTCCACATCGAAAGGAGCCAGCTGAGGTGGTTCGGGCATCTGACAAGGATGCCCCCTGGGTGAGGTGTTCCAGGCATGTCCCACCGGGAGGAGGCCCCGGGGCAGACCCAGGACACGCTGGAGAGATTATATCTCTCGGCCTGGCCTGGGAACGCCTTGGTGTTCCTCCGGATAAGCTGGAGGAGGTGGCTGGGGAGAGGGAGGTCTGGGCCTCTTTGCTTAGGCTGCTGCCCCGCGACCCGGCCCCGGACAAAGCGGATGAAGATGGATGGAAACAGAAAGAGAAAACAGTTCGTAAACAGAAACCTAAAAGAATAAAATCTGTGATTAGAGGTTTGACTAGAACCCTGACAGCTGATTGATAACATGTTTGATATGGTAGCTTTTTCTAAACAATGCTAAGATGAGATTTCCAGCCAAAGGTCAGTCCTTCATGGTGGATGAAGGTGGCGTCGTTCTGTCTGTCACTGGTTCTCGCCACAGTCTCCATGACAACTACAAAACGTCTCGTATCTGAGGAAGCCTGCTGGGGTTTGGAGCTTTGCAGTGAGCCGGTGACTGGACCTTTATGTTCCCCCTGAAAAGTGTCTCCCTGCTGTGCACAGTTCAAAACCAACCAGGACCCTGAAGAGCCTGAGCTCAGCGTTTAGACGTTGTGTGAGCAACGATGTGCGCAGTGAGCACATGTGCTCAGCACTCAGTCATGTAAGCACATGCAAACCTCACACATGCCATGAAGGGATGAATCCCAAACATGACTCCTGGAAAGATATCAGTGAAACTCTTTCCAGTGATATTACGTTTTTATTTTATTATGAGTTTGGCAAAAAACGCCAAAGCAGTAATCCATGAAGACTGACGCTGGTGATGAATGAGAGAACATTATTTTATTACAATGTTGACTAATAATAATTAAGAATAATGACAACCATCAGAGAACAATAAGGCACACATGAGCAGGACTTTGTTCGACAGCTACATTGTTACCTTTGCACTTCTCTGTGTGTGTTTGTCCTCAGCGTGATGACAACTGCAGGCTGGTTGGATTTCAATGAAAACACTGAGTGTGAGATGACTTCCCAGCAGACACAGGGGATGAGATAAGGCTGTGTGGGATGCCAGTGGAATGTCAAACACACTCTCCTGCTCGCGCTCTCTCACACACACACACACACACACACACACACACACACACACACAGCAAGTAGGTGAGGTGTGGAAAGAGACAGAACGGGGGGTGAGATGAAGGAGGCGAGGACAAAGATGAATGGAGATGTAGAGACGGATGGGTGGATGTAAGGGAGAAAGGCTGCTACACAGCATCAGGATACTGAGAGAGAGACTGTATTATGTATTCAGCTCAGACGAGGAGGAGGAGCTACAGAGAGATGAAGACGGAGACGTTTATGCCTAACGGCTCTCTTTTGTGTGCTCCTCGCTGCCTCTGAGGCTTCATGTCTGTCATCCTTTTAACAGACTTAAAAATGACTGTTGATGATGCACATTAGGGCTGTTCGATATAACGGTGTATATCTGATGACGATATGAAAACGTCTATCGTTTAATATTACGCTATCGTTTGTTTTGTGGTGTCGCAAAATAAACTGTTTATGGTTTATTTTCTCATGGTTTTGATGGTCGCTATAGTGACTATTAATTTCTTAAGGTTCTCTCTTTCGCTTATATTTAAAATAACCACACTACGGACAGATAAGCGACTGTTTTTACGCGTTGTCGTTAGCCACAGCAATGGTAAACCCTGCATTTGGCTCCGCTTGTTTATTTTCCACATAAACCTTTCACAATAAAGCTGAAGATCCTGTTGAGATTTTTCAAAATAAACTGAAGTGATGACAAACAGAAGGACCAGTGAAAACGAGGGGCTACCTCTGTAGCATGGACATGGTTTGGTTATGAAAAGTCTGACACGGACCAGAAAAGCGTACCGAGGTCCCCACCTCAGACTCAAACACGACAAACCTCTACCACCCACGCAAGGCTCACGTGAAACAGTGTGGAGAGAGTTTACAGATGAGAAGCAACGAAGAGCCGTCAGGTGCTCAACATAGACCTTAGCCTAAACGTTAGAGCAGGCCTTTCCCCGCAGCACGCCGTCTGATAAATGCTCACAAAGAAAATGACGGCCGTTATAAGTTATGTGTAAAAATATATAGTTTCATGCATCAGTCAAAACATTCAGCTCCGGGTACACGACGCCCGGCTGGAAATACTTCAGCTGCCCGAGATTCCCAGAATTGAAAATGTTTTTGTGATTTCTATCGTTGTCGGGACGATAAATGTCTAATATCAGGATATGAGACTGTGGTCAAAGGGCACAGCCCTACTGCACATTCATTTTACTATTAACAGATCTGATGCTTAATAAATCCTGCATAGAACCTTTGTGTTGTTACGACCACGTGTGGATGAGACGCACGGAGTCGGGGATGTAGAGGTGAATGAGCTTGAATACCTTGAGCCATAGTTTTCACGTGATTCGAGAGCTGCGGTACTGCGGCCCTTTGCCTTCCAGCCATCCTTTGAATATCTTTGAGTTTACCTTAAGCAAAATACCAGACAGTTGCTGTGTGAGACGTACTAATCAGCCCTTACTTAAAGCTGCCACGAGAGCGTCGAGTACGGTACCAGCACGTGAACACACCTCCCCTAACCCTGCGTTATAGGCTCGCACCAATCCCTGCTTCTCCACAGCGACCCGGCTGTCAGTGGCGGCTCATGTAAACTATAGGAACAGTTTACCCGACATCGGGTGACAAACGAGAACACTACCAGAGCTGGTCCTGCACTGTCCAAGTCAACAAAACACAAGATTTGTGGTAGTTTGTTTAAACCAGCTATGTAACACTTAATTTTGCTTTAACGATGAATAATAACCTGTTTTCACCTTCTTCACATTGACCCACCCAGATGGAAAATGCATGTAGCTGTCCATACTTTGAAAGCTTTCAGTCCTGTGTTAAGAGCCTACACAGTATAAAAGATGGGTGGAGCTTCTGTGGCATCACCCACTGGTTTCCATTGTTGGAAGGATGCAAAGATATGGACGGGGAGGGATGGTTTGTGACTGTGAAACTGTACACAAACTGTGTATGACCCAAAATAGTGACTGAGACCATAAGAAGCCAGGTTTTTCTCACTGACGTCTTCATGACTGGAAGTCTTTGTGTAACCATCGTCTTTATGGAAGAATGCAGGTTACAGAAGTCACAGCCTTGGTTTGTACTGTCTGTGGTTCTTTGCCACAAAAACACAATAGAAATAACAACGAGGTCGACAAGAAGAATTGAGGATGACATCATTGCTATGAATATTGCTGTCAGTTAATTGAAGAGCAGGGAACATGTTCCACTGGACAGTCTACAGATCAGAGCACTGCTGAGGCATGGTGCACTGTTCTGGATCTGCACTGACCACAGGGTTAGGGTGTTTGATTGACACTGGGTGCATCATGGGAATCCCCCAGCAGCCTACACCTATTGCAGCATAACTAAGGGAGGATTCAGGGTCACCTGGTGCAGCCCTAACTATATGCTTTAGCAAAAAGTTTGAAGCTTTAAAAGTAGAGATGGTGTCTGTCTCCCGAATCCAAACTGGAAGCTGGTTCCTGAAAACTGAAGGCTCTGCAGGATGTTTCTGTGCGAGCGCCGGAGCCGTGCTGTGCAGTCGTGAGTGTCGTTCTCTGTCACAACACATGATGTGGTTTCTTCTTTCTGCTAGTAACTGATTGTGATTCATCGTGCGCTTCTCTCAGTCCAAATCAACTTTGTCGTCATACTAATATTCAAGTATAGTGCATACAGTTGATACAAGTAGGAGTGTGTATTGGCGAGAATCTGGCGATACAATATGTGTCACGATACAATATATTGGGATACTAAAAGCCAGACGATGTTTGTGTTTGTGTTGATTGTATGAGAACTCACAGTAAACAGTCCAAAGTGTTAAATGAGCTGTTGACTAAAACAGAGGGATACGTTTCACTCCAAGTTCAAAATGAATGGAGAAATGTCTTATCAGAAGATAAACAAACACCACTTTACTGATAGAAGTAAACAATGCAACACTGAGGTCTTACTTAGTGAGTACTATCATTTTAAAATACTAATCCAAAAACTGCTCTCTGCAGCATCAAAAAGAAGCACTTTTAAGTGACCTTAACATAAACAAATATACATGAAAAATGAAATTGCTTGAAGAATTCATCCAAGTAAACAATATAAAGTGCTAATAAAAGAAGCCCTGCCATGTCCACCAGTGGAACACTTTTTGTGCAACCTGAAAAGGAGTTTGTTCGTCTGTGACTGAAGGTTCCACGGATCAGTATGTGATGAGCTGTGATCTCGAAGTCCAAGCAGCTGTCTGCTGAGCTGGGAGTCCAGGACTGTCGCTGTGACTTCTTGGTACAACTTTGGAGAGCGATGTCTGCGATATGTTGTCCGGAGAAACGGTGTAACGGGGCTCCAGCGTTGTAATCATATCACCAAATCCTTTATTCTCTACTGCGCTCAGACAGCGCAAATAGAAACAAGTACCGACTGCGCTGGTTTTGTTGCACGAGTCAGTTGCTTAAGGTTGGCATTTGATGCTACGTTGCTATGGTACTCGTAAATTTGTGTTACCTGAGTATTTGACTGTGGCGCTGCAGATTTTACGGACTTCGTAGCTCTTGTCAAAGTTTTACTGCCTTGTTTTGTCCTAAATCCAAAAGAAGTCCACACATCTGTGTCCTCTCCTCTTCTGTCATCAGTGAGCTAGCACAGTTTGCCACACGTCCGCTGGTCCACTTCTTAGGTTTGGTAAAATAGACGCTTCCACGGCACGTCCAGTGTTATCGCGAGACCTTGTTTTCCCATCATAGTGAAAGCGGTAAACACTAGCGGCCAGAGTTTGAATTGCTACACATAAAAGAAATGCACAGTAAATGCAAGTAAATCCTCAATAAAAAAATCGATAACACTGCTTTTGAATATCGATTCAGTATCGTAACACGAGACATCGCAATATTCCAATGTATCGATATTGATCCCTGGATACAAGAGTGCGATAGTGTGAGGCAGTCCTGTCCATGATGTGATGTCCACGAGCTCGTGATGATAAGCTCAGTGCAGTGAAGCTGCAGATCTTATTAATAATGAGCTTGTGCTGTTGTGTGTTTATGACAGTGGAGCCAGAGAGAGGCGGCACTTCTGGTGTGTGCTGCCCTCTGCTGGGACACATGCGCCTCACAGTCATCGCTCACACTCTTCAGTGTTAGTTTTCCTGTTGTTGGTCCTCACAGGACCTCACCAGTTTGATGGTTTTGTGTCTCGTTGTTGTTTTAGTATCGTTGTGTATTTGATTTGTGCTTCTGTTTCCTGTTCATATCACTGTACTGAATATTTCAGTTTGAGTGTGCTTATTGACTGTGGGCCCTTTTAATAGTAAGAACAGTATAAAAAGTCTTACGTTGAATTTGGTGATCATTGTTGAAACTCAGACGTGTTGGTCAGCACGGACGCCTCACAGCAGGAAGGTCCTGGGTTCAAATCCGGGCACTCCAGCTCCGCCCAGAGTCCCAAACATGCAACTCTGAGTCTGTCACAGCTGTCTGTGAGCGTCTTAATCTCTGTGTGTTAGCCCTGGGCACCTGTGCAGGGTGAACCTCTTAAGTGGAGGAGAACAGATGGATGCAAACATTGTGTGTCTTGGTGATTCCTGACGCGTCTGTATGTGTTTCTGTTCTCCAGAGTACTATTATGATCAGGAGGAAAGGACGGACGAAGAGGCCGAGCCAACCTTCTCTGAAGACGAGGCTGTGAGTCAGAAAGGACTGAGGCGATCGCAGAGCGTCAAACTGTCTCGATCCAGAGTTCGCAAAGACGTGAGTGTTCTGTTCCACTGAGTACGCACATTAGTGTGTCGATACATCCTTCTGCCACAGTCAGTAGTGCTGAATCTCTGGACTGCATGCACACTGATGAGTGTTTTTCTTAAACGTTGTCACCAGGCTCGTTACGGATCACTGAAGATTAAAGGCAAGAAGAGACCAGCGCTGAGCGCCGTTAACTACGGAGTCTGAAGACATTACTGCTGTCACATACATACACACAGCTGAGCAGGCTGCTGGTTGGTGGATGGTACTGTCAGCTTGTTTTTAGCTCTGACTTTTCACTCTGCTGAGCTCTTTGACGATCACCTTTCTGCTGACATATTTATTACACGCAGTGGCTCAAAGAGCGCTCGCTCTCAGCGAACACGGGCTGACTTTGTTGTGGGATTTGTTTCTTTCTTCGTTAGCATTGTAGACATGTTTCTATGTGTGTCTAGATTTTAGATGAGCTGTTGATTTGTTTGTAATTTTACAGGACACATGCCACCTAAGGCGTCCTCTGTGAGGAGTTCATAAAGTCATGCTTCACTAGTTTTCATGCTGTTGCATCACAGTAACCCCTCAACAGGCACAAGCTTTGGTTCTCCACTATTGTCAATGTTTTGCATCAATGATTTTTCTTGTGCAAAAGACCAAAATCTCAAAGTTTGAGTGAACCTTCAACTATTGTGTGCTTGGCTGGAGTCACGTGACACTAATGGCTAACACTCATACTCTACATAGACATTTACATTGCTTTTAAAATAGCTTGTTAAAAATCTTAATTAAAGCTTTATCCAGAGCAGCAGAAGAAGGGCGAATGTCTAATAACACGTCTGTCTTATTAGCAAACATGAGCGAGCTGCACATTCAGCTACACAACACAACTTCATTCCAACTTTCAGCTCAGAGTGAAAAATCACTGTTCTCGTGGTGGAATATAAAATGTTGAACTTGCATTTAGAATAACCAAAGTTGTTTTTATTATATATGTTTTTATGATTTATTTAGCAGTTCAGCTTCAAACTCTATTCGAAAAGTTTGGCATTAGTTCTGCTTTTGCTGCCTTTTAGCTGTTTTACCTGCTCGTACCACTATTGTTGGAGTCTGGACTTGTGGCCTAATTGGTACCCACTTACAGTACCAGTGGAGAGCAATGTGAAAGCATGAACATTTGAGGAGAGCAGGCCTGACAGAGCTGATATTCAGACTCTTCTGTCGGGGGGAAACGACGTGAATAAGAGAGAGTGTCAGCACTTGTGCAGGCCTGCAGCTCCCACTCTTGATGATTATTTTCTATTTTTTATTGGTGCACTTTGTACTGTGTCCCGATCTCTCCCTGGTTGTAAATTTCAAGTCGTGTTTTGTGCTATTACTCAAGTTTTGCTTTCTGAATGGTGTTTTTTTTGTGAGGTGATCAAAAGGTGTTTTGTATGCAACCACATGTTTTGCACATATACCTCCTCTTATACTTTTTTATCTTTATGCTGTCCTTGCTTGTCATCTCAATTTTAATGTAACTAGCTGTGAGAGGATGCAGAGCACGAGGTGGCTGATGGATGCTGATAACAGCTGCTCGTAGCATTCGTTTCCTCGCACACTGCTGGTTGAGCGACGTTGTGATTTCTGCGTTTCTCTGGCAGAAACGATGTCGATGTGTCATCGTGTCCTGGTTCAATTTTCAGCCTTTTTTTATTTGCTTTGATGCAACAACAAGCCAAACGTATTCACATCAGCGGGTCCATGTAACCATTGTAACTGACTAATGATATCAAAGCTTTGTATCCACACAAAGCACTGTGGCTGTGTGACCTTTGTGGGGAAGATACCTGGTGTGTGGAGGTGTAATAAAAGAAAGTTTGTCTGACTGCAGTCAGGCCAACAGATCCTGTGGTCTGTCCATTATTATTCAGTTCTGAGAGTTTGCAGTAGATCTAATGTTTCCTGTTAAAATCTTTGTGTGAGACTATGAAACAATATTGTACAGTGTTAATATTACAGAAGAAGCGCAGGTGAAACAGACAATTCATTTTATTACAAAATTATACAAATGTATGAACTGTACTCCTGTGGTGTTGGGCGCTGTAACAGTACTCTGGCCCATGGTCATAATTCATATTTCAGTGTGTGGTGCCACTCGGGCGTTTTCAGGAGCAAAGTGTGGTCAGATCATTTTTCATTTGCTACTATTACATTTTCTCAGTTGCTTTGCATTTCTCACAACAGAATTGATCTCTGCACCACTACTAAGGCTCTTCTCAAAACAATTGGTGCAAACTGCAAAACATGGTGGATAACTTGCAAAAGCGAGTCACTTCATCAAAACAAATATATCCATCCAAAGCAAGTACTTATATCAAAGTGTCAGGGCGTCACAATTACAAGTCACTACACCAGCACCTTTGCTCACAAAATCAAATGGTTTCAACATGTTCTCATTGTGACGGAGTTCTTTGTAGGTGCTTCCCAATGACATGTCAAGTCTGGACAGCATGCACGGCATGTTGAAAACCATAACTTGCAAAGGAAAATCAAGACTTCATATGCACTCTTGATAATATTTAATTGAAACTGTTCACAGCTTTGTGCAACTGGGGAAATACAGCAAATCAAACCCACTCACTTAGACAGTAAACCTTACTGCAGTAGTCATGAAACAAAAACCTGAAAAACAGACACTGCTGCATATCAATCATTGATATCTAGACGCTCCCGTCTGTCTGCCCACATATTTGCATCAACATCACAGCGAATGTCAGCTCTATCGATGCATCTATGAAAGCATCGTCTGGAGTGTCTGCAGGACTCTGCTGTGATGTCATCACAAGCTGCATCCATAGCTGCTAGCAGGGTCATTTGGGTATGAGGATGCCTGTCATATACCTTCCACCTCCAGGAAGAGAAAAACTCCTCAATTGGATTTAGGAATGGAGTGTAAGGAGGAGGAAACTCCATAAGCATCCTGTCGTGTCCTGCAAACCACTGCCCGACTACTGCAGAGTGATGGAAGCTAACATTATCCCAAACCACTACATACATTGTCCAATTGCCACCAGGATCATCCCTTTCATTTTGTGGGATTAGGGCCCCATAAAGAGCGTCCAGAAAAGCCAACAGGTGTTGTGTATTGTATGCACCAACACGAGGAATATGGGTGTGAACGCCATTTTCTGAGATTGCTGCACACATTGTAATATTCCCTCCTCGTTGGCCTGGGACATCAATGGTGGCTCTTTCGTCCACGCCGTCTGCCTTTTGCGAGATTGAATCCCGCTTCGTCAAGATATACAAACGTGTGCAGGGGTTCCCTGGCCTCCAGTTCCAGGATACGCTATCCAAAGGATGAGACTAAAAAAGTCTGTAATGGTGCATTTGGCACAACAGATTGTACAGTTTGAACTGTGAATAGGATTACAGTAACATGCATAAATGTAAGTGCAGTACATGGCCAAAACTGTTACAGTAAACAGAGGTACATATGCAAACATGTTTTACCTGTACATACTGGTGACGGAGCTCCTTCACTGTTCCGTTCAAATGGTACTTTGCACAACTGCTTCATGGACATTTCATTCCGTCTGAGGACTCTGTCTATGGTGGAAATCGATATTGACTGAATATTTCCGAAGATGGTGTCATCTTCTACGACAGCTCTTTGCATTTCTCTCAGTCTCAAAGCATTGTTTGCAGCCACCATTGCACAAATTCTTTCCTCTTGCTGCGGAGTCAAAAGTGGACCTCGTCCACCTCTTCTAGGTTGTCTGGCAGTCCTTTAAGCACAAACATGCTTACAGTAATTGTTACAGGACTATCATTCAAAACTCCTTTCTTTACAGCATTACTGTATTGTACCACAGCACACTATGCCACACCAAGTCTGCGCTTCAGTTACAGTACGTCTATATAGTCTCCTGTATGACTATGAAAGTGCAGAGCAAATTAGTTTGTGCTGAATAACTACATTACAGCATGCTCGCCTGTTTTCCCGACGAAACGTCTGAATAATGGAACTTACAGTAGTTCTCCCAACATTTGGCTGCACCCTTCGACCAGCCTCGGCCATTGTGAGGCCATGGTTTATCACGTGACCCACAAGTGTTGCCCTGATTTCGTCAGGGACGTGTCTATGTGGTTGGCCTCTTCTTGCCCGGTTTTGTCCTCGTCCTCCACCGATCCTCACCCCTCTTCCACAAGGCTGACGTTCCATGTTCTGCAGTTTTGTAGATTCAGTATGCACCTCATGCCAATCCTGTCTGTTGGTTTACATTATATATATACTTGTAGAGTAGGGGATCCTGTAACGCGATTCACCTGTGACTGGGTAGAAGAGGCTTTTCATTGGTTGCAAGTAAGAGTAACACACACCAATTTTCACTAGTGTGAGATAAGGTTCACCTGAGAAAAGTAATTTATGGAGATTTTCATGGAAACTCCTTAAAAATAGGGTTTTCAAAATGGGTGTACAAATTGTTTGACAAGATGTTCAACAATTTTGAGTGCACTGACACAAGCAATGAAATGAAGACTATTAGTTGTAAGGACAATGACTATTCAGCCGGCACAAGTATAAATAATTGTGACATTCATGATCAAAGCAAGGAGATGGTGATGAACAGCAAGTCAAAAGTGACCATTCTTTAGATATTTGTACTTACTCAACTGCTTCATGTCCAAAGGCATTTGCCTTGAAATGAATATGGAAACTGCCACAAGGTTGTGCCAAAACGACTACATGTTGTGGAGGTTGAACTGACTATTGTGTTAGTTTAATTCTGTTGTGAGAAATGCACCAAAGCAACTGAGAAAAACTGTAATAAACTACGTAGAAGCTGATGATTGAAGCCGCCCACAGAGCAGCTTTTGGACTTCTCCCTTTGCCAGAAAAACCCGTTTTGCCAGAGCTGCTCTGCTCACAGTTCACACCAACAGCAATTAGAAGTGTGTGCAAATCACACAGTACAGAGTTTGTATAGGGCTAAGATGAATCTGACAACAGCACATGAATGTGGTTCTGTCAATATAAGAACACTGCCCGTCACTGACAGCAGTAAAGCCAAGAGTCTGATCCCAAAGGCTGATTCTGTTCATCTGGACGTTTTCAGAGGGAGAAACTTTCATCATCAGGTGACGTCTTCAGTCTCAGCTGACTGCAGGTTCCAATCTTATAAACAGTGCATTTGCATAATGACTGAAACCAGCCCACTGAAGGAACGATGGGCTGGGAGGTCAGGTCCTTAATCTTAATCATGCAAATTGATGACCATTGATCAACAACCACTGATCAATGGCCATGAGTCCCATTCGCAGAGAGTTGGGGAATGGCTGCAATCACAGCATGTAAGATGGTGACAGATGTACCCTCAGGCCCCCTCCTCCATTCAGAGATGGTCTTTCCCTCCTTGACTCCGCCCTCAAACCAGCGTCCCTCCCTGTCCAGGATGTTACATCCTCATCCTTGAAAGAGTGTCCACTGGCCTGTAGGTGTAAATAGACTGCAGAGTCCTGGCCTGACGAGGTGGCTCTGCTGTGTTGTGCCGTCCTCTTAGCCAGAGGTTGTTTGGTTTCCCCGATGTATAAATCCTGCACTTAACAGCGTACACTATGTTACTCTGTTTGTGTCGGGGACCCGATCCTTGGGGTGGGCCAGCTTTTGGTGCAGCGTGTTTTGGGGTTGAAAAGCCAGAGAAGTCACTTGGATGAGTGACGAAACATTTCTGTCATTGAAAACGTCCAGATGAACACAATCAGTCTTTTAGGATTTACTTACCTGGATGCAGCGAGCATGCAGCGAGCATGCAGCGAGCATGCAGCGAGCATGCAGCGAGCATGCAGCGAGCATGCAGCGAGCATGCAGCGAGCATGCAGCGAGCATGCACCTGGACGACACTCCAGAACTGCCTCCTTATGACATCAGTTACAAAGCTGCAAGAACAATGGAACCAAATGAGATTACACACAGAGCTCTAGATGTGCTTCTGATCTTGAAAAGGAGATCAGCCAGATTTAAAATAAGATTTTTATTTCTGGCTTTAAGCCTTTATAGATGGGCTTAATGACTTGCAGGAAAATGGCCCAGCAGCATATGAGCCACCTGCTCAACTAACTTACCTATATTGGTGGCCCATTCTCAGAACCAGTGCTTACTGAACTGCTCAAATACTACTTGACATTTCCCTGTAGTTGCTTCGACAGCTCTAGGTGGTTTGCAAGTGAAACCCTTAAAGTGAAGCATCAGCAGTAAGAATGTCTTCAGTGGTGTTTTAACAAATCTCTGATCCAACCGGCCACAAGTGGCGAGCTGGGACACAGATGTGTGGGCCTTAGTTAAGCGCTTGGGCATTTGGAAGAACTGAGGCGGTTTTAGAGCTGCTGCTTTCAGTCAATGAGTCAAAAACTTGTCCAAAAACAAGACAACTTGAAGCTTTTTCAGCCGCTGTGATTCTGATAGCTGACCATCTGGCAGGTTTGTCCTGCTGCATTCATGCCCTGTGAGAATGATAAAGCAGCTTCTGTAAAGCTCATTTCAAAAACACATGAATAACATGAAGTCCAAATGACACTCTGAGACTGACAGTCAGTTAGCTTTATTCAAAAACAGAACATCATTTTGTACAACTGTTCACATCACCATCGATTTAAAGGCCAGCTAAGCCAAACACGTGGCTTACAATGAATGAGTTTTGCATAGCTGGGACATGCAGCAAAGTGTCCTGTGTGTAGCCACGTCTTCATCTTCATCATAGTGGATCCAGGAAGGAAATGCACTCTCTTAAGTGAATACACGAGTTTGTACAAGTGCCTCGAAATATGTGATAGTATGCATGCACGTGCTGCATGCATTAGACTGCAAGCAACACAGTAAACAAGTTGCCTCGAGTCCTCTTTATTCTGTTGTGCCGACATAAACGATCAGCTTTGCTCGTAGACATGCTGGACTAAACGCTTGCTCAGCTCGGTTAAAGCTGCACCACAGCTTCATTTCAGGAGCCGGTGAGTGTCGGGACGTGAACGATCCATCAATAAGAATCTTTTAAAGGGATGGCTTTGTGATTAAGCTGGACTAGCCTCGCTGGATGTTCACTGACGGCCTATGATAATATAAACGTGCCCTGCCTGCAGTTTATGCTGCATTCTGCTCCTTCTGTTATCAGTGTTCAGATTTTATGATGTGGATCAAAATATCTTCAGTTATTTGAGGCGTCCAAACAAAAAGAAATTCACAAAGTCACATCCTGGGATGACTGTGAGCCAAACATTTAAGAGAGCTTCAGATTACCGAAGGTGCTTCTTTTGGCTTTGCAGGTAATGTACAAACTGCCACATTTGGGACTAAAAACGTGTAACTGACATAAATTGTAGTTCCTCCACCGGCCACTTGAAGCTCGCGCCAAGAGTGACTCTTTCCCCTTAGACTCCCACGTTACAATGCCCAGCTACCCACATTAGAAAGCATGTTCACTGGCCTCAAACAATAGTCTTACCCTGCCACAGCTATAAGGAGGGTGCCTCTGCTATTTGGATACTGGTGAGGCTTAACTTTGGGGCTTGACACAGAGTCAGCCCGTCACCGTCTGCTCACCCCAGTCAAGATGAGTTTGAGCTGAGTGCTCTGCTGCCTTCATGCTCTTTGTGTGTTGGAAACCAGGCCTGCTGAGATGCACCCGTCCAAGAAGTCAAGTATTTGACTGTATTCACATGTGGTCTACAGTAAACACAGCTGATGTTACCATTAGAGCACACTGTAGTTTAATGTATGCGTGACCACCAGATGATATGGTACTGCAAACGCTCAGGACTAAACATTTCCATTAATGAATAATTACTTGGTTTCAAAACAGGAAATAAAATGCAGACTACAGTTTGTTAGCAGAGTCAACAAGACACGATGAATGACGTCAACATCAAACAGTACAGACATGAAGATCCTGAGACACAACAAACCACAACTACACTTGTTTTAGAAGAACTATGTGAAGCATCTGATGGACTCTGCCCTTTGACCTTTGAAGAACACTGTCATTATTCACATGGTGTTTGTTGGAAACCTTAATGTATCAACTCTTCAGAATAGATCAACATATCTGCTCGCTGATGACACTGCATGCGTCAGCCTTCATTCCTATTGATCCCCACTGACACCCATTGATAACCCGTGTGTCTCTACATTTCTGGTGGGGAATAAGAAGAACATCAGAAGGCTTGTTTGTTTTTTAGCCTTCAAGTATCTGCTCAGAAAAACATCAATGAGTCTATTACAAGCTTTTCCCTAACACCAGTATGCTTTCTTATAATGAAGTTACACATGATCTGAATGCATCCGTGTGGATACAAAAGAATTTTAGGAGCAGTTCATCCAGACAATCGACACTCAGTCTTTACCTCTCATGTGACTTAAAATCCAGCTCAGGCCTGCGGTGCCGAACACCTGGAACAAAACGTCCAGGACGGAGTTCATCCGCAGGACCAGTTATTCTGAGAGCAGCTGAGTTTGGAGCCACAAAGCACACATACACAGAATTATGTCATAACTCTTGTAGGAAAGCTGTGTGTGTGTGTGTGTGTCCTTTCATAATAATGCACACACTTGCACACACCCCCGCTTCCACAACACCTTAAATAAAGTCTAAATCTGTGGGAAACATCAGCTGATCTGCTGCTGACAGAACTAAGCTGTCGTTGAATGCTGTATGAGATCTGGGTCATGTGATAACACAGTAGAAGTCTGAGACATAAGTGAAAGTTTTGGGAAAACCTTGCCCGTATTCCTGTCCTGCTCTCAGTGTAAGTCATGCTGACACACAGCCTCGCTGCTCTTCTCACAGATTAGTGAACGTTTCCTTTATCTGTGGCTCGGACTGCCTTGCACCAGTGATAGTAGCGTTATCACTTCCTCCCTCTCTGATGTTCCCGTTTGTCGTCTGATTCCACCTGAGCAGAGGCCTCGTGGGTCGAGCCGGTAGCTTTCACTGTATAACGTTTTGGCATCTGAACTCAAAGTCGTACTGGTTGAACCACATGTATGTGTGTGTGTATGTGTGTGTGTGAGATGTGTTCTATTACAGCTTATCCCTGTCTAGTAGCTCCTGCAGTTCATTCTGGATGTCCTCTGGCAGCTCCAGAGGAGGCAGGTCATCCAGACACAGGTCTTCCTGAGCTGGCATTTCCAACGGTGGCAGCTGAGGGATTGCGATCTCCTTTCCCTTCCTTTTACTCTCCCCTCCCTGTCCAACTCCGGTTCCCATAGGACCACCTGCTTGTGGGAGCACCCAGAGCTCGGAGCGCTCCACAAAGTCGGCTGCCTCCGAGTGCAGCCTCATGTTTTCCAGTCGTAGCCGCTCGTTCTCGGCTCTCAGCTGCTGGTTTTCGTTCGTCAGGCCGTCAACCAGGAGTCGCAAGTTCTCGATGGTCGTCTGTTGTTCTTCCAGGCGCGTTTTGTCATCTTTGGTGGTCTTAGATCCCGAACACACTGGAGTTAAAATCTGTGTTCCTCCAGTCTGCCGAGTCTGAAGCTGGTATAGTAAGGTGTCATACTCCCTCTGCCCGACGCTTCCAAGCTCTGCAGCTGAGGCGCCTGGAGAGGCATAGGGCCGGCTGCTGCCCGTGGACGGAGATTTTGAAAAGAACCCTGGCCCGGTAGCCTGCACTAGACCAAGTCGTGTCTTAACCGCCTCTCGCCGAGCTTCTCTCTTCCAGCGCTCTTGGATTAACCGTTGCTGTTTAATGTGACTGTCCCTCTGCAGCTCCATGGACAAACGAGCCTACAGCCAAGGAACAAACAATCACTGTCGTGATACAAGACATACACAAACAATCAGCTCTGAAACTCTGACGATCAGGTGGGTGGGTGACTTCTGACTTTCCTACGTTTAAGATTTGTCTGTTTTTAAGACTACTACAGATTACTACTTATTGAGATTTGCACAGAGACTGATTAACAGTAGTAGTGCTAATAAAAAAAATCCTCAGCATATCCAACCAAGAAGAGGCCACGGAGACCACATGTCAATGTAGTTTTTATTTACAGCAGACATGTGCAGGTCACCTCTGTCACTACACCCCTGAATCTGCTCTGTGGTCCTGCTCTGCCCCTCTGACACCCTCATGTCTAATCCTGTCCGTCCTGGTCAGGCCTAACGAGAAGTCTTAGCATCTTCAACTCTTTTTGTTTGTGCTGCTGTCTCCAAACCATACATCACAGCAGTGTAATGTACAGGGTCTGCGGTTACACCCGTCTCATTCACACATGCATTCTGTCTCACGTCCACTGATTTTCATTGCTCTTCTTCAACTGTCAACATGACCACTGACCATCAGAGCTACCGATGTACTCCTGCCTGAAACTCCGTCTGTCATTCCTGCTTTTACACCTCACCCACTGTCTCGCTGTCTTCCTGATGTTACATGTTCAACATTACATTAAGTTTATTTTCCCCTTAAATTTTTCTTTGATGATAAGATGGACATTTTAGAGGAAGTGACCCTTAACTTCAGCTGCTGCTTTAAAAACAAAAACAAACTTGAGTTGTCATGGCTTCAGTTTTCCTCTGGGGTCTACGTCAGTGGTCCCCAACCTTTTTTGGGCCACAGACCGGTTTAATGTCAGACAATATTTTCACTCATCGGCCTTTAAGGTGTCGCAGATAAATAGAGCAAAATAAAACGACACGACCGAGACAAAAACTGGTATTTGGTAAATATAATAATAAACATGAATTCACTGTGTAATTGTGTAACTTTTTTAGCAGCGTCCTCCTCTCTGCCCCTTAATGCTCTCTGGTCACTATGGTAACATGTAAATATTTCTTTCAAAATAAGACACAACTACAACACGGGAAAAGACCCAGGAAACGGAGTTAACGATAAAAACCCTGAAAACCATAAATTTCACACCCGAGCCTCAACTCTCGCTGCCCGGTACCAAACGACTCACGGACCGGTCCGCGGCCCAGAGGTTGGGGACCGCTGGTCTAGATGATCTACAGCATGCTACAGGTGGTGTTAGAACTGTGTGTGAATCTGAATCAGCATGTTTACAGATTATGTTTCACTCCATCACTGATCAAACACAGACAGATAAAAAGATAAAACTGAGTGTCTCACCTGCTCACACACGGGTGCCTTCATTGCCTCAGTCAGAAAATCTGGTAGTGAGACAGTGTGTGTGTGTGTGTGTGTGTGTGTGTGTGTGTGTGTGTG